CTGAGAAATGCCTTTAAGTGAGGTATTCCTTTAAAAAAGCTAATGATTGAGTGGTCTATAAATTGGAAAAAGAGTAGACAGAGGATCAAGAAGGTTTTGTAGCCTTTCTTCGAAAAAATTAATAAATCACCAATTAAGCCTTGATTTAATACTTTTGGATAAGCTTTCCAAACAGTAACAATATGTTTTTGGTTTTTTTAAATAATAGTTTATGTAAGTTATTGGGGACTTCTGCAGGTAAATCCTATGAAAAGTTTTTTTAGCGGATTGTGATAATTTGAAAGTCTATCAAAAAAACATTAAGCCAAGGCTTTAATATTCTAAAGTGAGGTCCTATAATCTTACTATAAAAAAGTGTTTTTCCATAAGAAGAGTAACTGTCCTATAAACAAATGTCTTCCCTAGAGTTTAATATATATATTGCTGAAAACAAGAACTACTATTCTGCGTGTAAAATCTGCCATGGTTTGTAAAAATAAAATAATGCCAAGCTAAGTAGGAAAGTAATAAACCACATCTGACCTGAGAAAATGCCTTTAGTTTCCTGGAAGTTACATTGATTGAATACCTAATGCATTCAATCAATGGTCAGGTAAGCTTACCAATGCATCTTTAATGCAGCAATCCCACTTACTCAGCAGCTCCCACATAAGCTTTAAAGTCTGATAGTTGTTACCAGTGATCAAGTGTGCATCCTTTATCAGTGTGTAAATCTCAGTGTCCCAAGCCAGGATATAATTCAATCATCTGCACACATTCATTCACTTCCCAGACACCGAGCATATAGACCTTCGAGTCAATTCTCCACGTTGTGTATTGACACAGACACTAGAGTAAGGTTTCTGTGTATGTATTAACATTACAGGAAGCTGGTGATTTCAGCTGGACCCCAAACATGTATTCCAGAATTATACATTGTTGGCTATGTAGGAATGTTCTGGACAACCAGGGAACCAAATGGAGTAGACAGAAGAAAGCCCCAAGGCACATTTACACAGCATATTGGGTTCCTTGGGGTCAAGCCAGGTCTTCCCGCCACCAAGGTGGTAAAGATATGGCTGCTTTTAAAACCCATGATGATCCATTTTTAAACATAGGAGATCATTGGAATTCCCCAATATTCATGGTGGCACAAATACTATAAACACTCAATTTCTCCAAACTACACCTTAATTTCCTTTTACATTAAAGGGCCAGTCCACACCCATGTTTTATGGCTGTGGACTATCCCCTTAGAAGTCCAGTTTATAAAGGTACAGATTTCCTTGAGAAATCTGCACTTTTATAAGTGGCTTCCCCGGCTGTCAATCAAACACGCCACTGAGCTAACAGAAGTGTAAGCGCTATTACTGTGAAGTGGAAGTGTCAAGGAGTTCTCAGCATCCCCTACTCACACAGAGGAGGTTCCAAATGCTGAAGTGCATAGCATGTAAAAATTGCCTATAGTCTGTTGCATCACTTACTACAGAATTCCAAACTGCCTCTAGAAGCAACTGCAGCACAACAAATGGGCATCGGGAGCTTCACGGAATTGATTTCTATGGTCAAGCAGCCATACACATGCTTCACATCGACATGCACAATGTTAAGCGCCTGCTTGAGTGGTGTAAGGCACACCACTACTGGAGGAGTGGGAACATGTTCTCTGGAGTGATAATTGTGGCTTAACCATCACTCTGATTAAAGCACTGGAGTGTGGCAGATGCCTAGAGAATGCTACTTCATGGAATGCATAGTGCCTAATATAAAGTTTGGTGGAGGAGGGATAATGGTCTTGGACCCTTAGTTCCAGTGAAGGGTCATCTCAATGTTACAGGATACAAAGACATTTGGATACTTCCAACTTTGTTGCAACAATTTGGAGAAGGCCCTTTCCTGTTCCAGCATGATCTTGCCCATGTACATAAAGTGAGGTCTATAAATACATAGCTTGACAAGTTTAGTGTTTTGGAATTCAAGTGGCCTGCAACGAGACCTGACTTCAATTCCACTGAACACCTTTGGTAATGAATTGAAATGCCGATTATGAGCCAGTCTTCTCATCCAACATTAGTGCCTGACCTTGCAAATGCTCTTTTGTCTGTATGGATACAAATTTCCACAGACACAATCCAAAACCTGTTTCACAGCCTTCCAAGAAAGGTTGAGGCTGTTATATCCTCAAATGGAAGAATGGAGGGGACCATATTATATTAATGCTCATGGAATGTGGTGCGTAAGAAGCACATATACGTGATGATCAGATGGTGGCCATATAGTGTCTGTCTACGGGTATAGGGTATTATCCAAATCAGGAGTACTCATTTTGCTGCTTGTAATTGAACTTTATGAGGTATATTTATCACAATACCTGTCCCTGTCACTTTTAAGACACACATTCCAATGTGTCACCTGTGCAGAATTCCCTCTAGGTATCTAATAGCACCTTATTTTCCTAATCCTTTTTTTATTAACCCACCTTAGTTCTCAGTTATCCTATCTTATTTTATCCTTTGATTTCTACCTTGTTTCCTCGTATTTGTGACATTGTAGATTCTACATCCCTGTTATGCTTCTCAGTAGGCACTGCATTAAGTCCAGTCTTTTTAAGGTCTGGTATATGTCCCTATCCTGATATTCTATAACACCATACGCTGGTTCACTTGTGCCACAAAGCCCTGTGTGGTGTAAGCTTGACAGTATTAAGATGTATTTTAAAATTTACATTGGTCTATGTACAAAGGAGATTAAAGAATGAGGAATTATCATGGACAGACCATAAACAGTTTAATTTAAAATGTATAATTAATAGTAGCATCTTAAGGTAATAAATCTAAATTATTCCTTAACGTTTATAGCAGCATTTAATAAATACTTTGTTTCACTCAGAAGCTCAGAATTAATTTAATGTCATTTGGTATTCATGAACGGAAATCCTATTCACTGTTTGGCTATCATATTTTGTCCAAAACAAGCTAATCTTTTTTTTTGTAGTGCCCATGTTTCATTACATTGTTGTGTTGATTTACCAAAGTAAAACCACAATTTAGGATTAGCAAGTATCCTAGCAGTGTCTGAGAACGGTTGTCTTCTCGTTTGCTCTGTATACAAGAGTGGAAGAGGGATGTAAGCATAGAAGCTTACTTGGCAACGATCATCACATTAATAAATAGAATTATAGGTGATCTAGAAAGGGGTTTAATGTGTCTAGCCACAACTGATTAGAATACTATGAATAAATTATATCTGCAATTACAAAAGTACATTCAATTAATTTGCTATTTTTGTTCCAGATAAAACATTTAATGCACTTTTACAATTAATTATTAGACTATTTATTATATATTATTAAATTATGCCCATATGATTTATTTATGTACCTGTTTTTTTAATGTCGGTTAAACTGGAACAATCGTGATTTTTGCTTTTAATTTACTTTAACAGATTTTTTCTAATAATTAGAAAATTGCATTAAAACAATATAGGTTGTGATGGATTTTAACCTTTAAATGTAACCATTGTAAAACCTCAAGATTAAAAAAAACAAAAAAAAACACATAAGGTTTAACATAATTGCAGATTATCATAATGGTAAAAAAAAAACATAACAAATAACAAAACAAAAAAAACAGGCCAAAAACTCTGGATAAAACCAGTTTAAAGGTAAGGGGTGAATTTGGATAAAAAGCTTTCATCTGTCCCCAGCGTCCAAAAAATTGTGCTTTAAAGATGATTAAACTTTTACTTTGAACATTAAAGAACATAATGGACAAATTCACATTTTATAGATGCATTATATTTCTTTTTACAGTGTTTATAAAATAGTTGATATATTTTTACCTGTTTATAATTTATAAAGTGTAGGAAGGGTAAAAAAAATACACACTTTTTTTTCTTTATCTCTACATAAATATATTCACAAAACAATCTAAAACAAAAATATTTTTTGCGCATGGTCCATATTCCAAAACTCTGACATAAAGGGATAAATCACAAAATGAATGCAGTGGTTAATTACTATGTCTGATTAATTCACCGTTAGGTTTCTGGTGCTGGGTCCATAGTTCTATATCCAGCCTTCACCATAATCCTAAATCTGCACAATTGGTAAGCCCATACCATCTCAGCGAGGAAGTACTTTGTTTATTGAACAATATGCAAAATGGTACAAAAAATACAGACAGACCTCATAAGTGACATAGGATCCAGATAAAATCTGTATCAAAAGTTTAACAAAAAAATTCAAATCCTAGATCCATGCACCTAAAGGAGTGTGACAGTGATGTCACTTGCAGCAGGATTTGCAGCATCTTCAGGGAGATCTCACCAAACCAGTAAGTAACAGCCAAACTGATGAGAGCTAACCATATAACAGAAATCTCTGCAGCAGGGATTGTGGGACTTATATTTCGGCAATTGACAGTAATTCCATTTACCAGATAAGATGAACAGAACTGATGACTAAGTTGGTAACTGCGCCATTAAGATTTTACAGAAAGGAGCTATCAAATGCAATAGTGTAACTGTCTATGTGCGGTCATGGAACAGGATCAGGGCCGGATTAACATAGGGGCTGATGGAGCTGCAGCTCCAGGCCCAGGCCTATGGAATAGGCCCATTTAAAAAAAACAATTTTTTTTTTTTTTTTTTTTACACACTACTCTTAGGTTTGCCACCTGACTGGTATTTTACTGGCACAGCCGGTATTTAAATCTGCCTGGCCATGCCAGTATTGCAGTAATACCGGCAATACAAATGCAGGTATTTTTCACAGAATAAATGGAGATTACTCTGCAATACCAGCACCGGCCAGTAGGGGTCACTGTGTGTGTGAGAGAGGCAGGGATAGGAAGTTACAGCATATCCCTGCCTCTCTCTACTACTTACTGATCCGTGGGGGAGCAGCAACACAGCACAGAGAGTCCATACAGCAGTTCTACAGCTCAGGTAAGTGAGGGATGGGGGAAAGGCAGCAGGGACACATGGGGACACTGAGACACTAGGGGACATATGGGGACACTGAGACACTAGGGGACACAGACACTAGGGGACACTGAGACACTAGGACACTCGGGACACAGACACTGGGAGACACTCGGGGACACTGGAAAACATGGGGACACTGAGACACTAGGACACATGGGGACACAGACAGTGGGAGACACTCAGGGACACTGGAAAACATGGGGACACTGAGACACTAGGACACATGGGGATGCTGAGACACATGGGGACATTGTGAGACATAGGGACATTGGGAGACACTGAGACATTGGGACACAGAGACACTCTGTCACCAAGTCTTCCAATGTCTGTGTCCCATGTCTCTCAGTGTGCCTAGTGTCCCCATGTGTCCCAGTGTCCCTATATGTCCACAACTGTCCCCATGTCTCCCAGTGTCCCCAAGTGTCTGTCTTCCAGCCAGTGTCCCCTAGTCTCCCAGTGTCCCCTAGTCTCCCAGTGTCTGTGTTCCCATGTCTCTGTGTCACTAGTGTCTTAGTGTCCTCAAATGTTTCAGTGTCCCCATGTCTCCCAGTATCTGTGTTCCTAGTGTCTCAGTTTGCCTAGTGTCCCCATGTCTCCCAGTGTCCCTATATGTCCCAGTGTCCCCATGTCTATGTCCACAACTGTCCCCATGTCTCCCAGTGTTCCCAAGTGTCTGTCTCCCAGCCAGTGTCCTCAGTGTCCCCTAGTCTCCAAGTGTCTGTGTTCCCATGTCTCTGAATCCCTAGTGTCTTAGTGTCCCCAAATGTTTCAGTGTCCCCATGTCTCCCAGTGTCTGTGTCCCTAGTGTCTCAGTGTCCCCATTTCTAACAGTTTCCCTAAATGTCTCAGTGTCCCCATGTCTCCCAGTTTCCCCATGTCTCCCAGTGTCCCCGGGTCTCCGTGTCCCCATGTCTCTCAGTGTCCCCATGTCTCTCAGTGTCCCCATGGTGTCCCCGGGTCTCTCAGTGTCACCGGGTCTCTGTGTCCCCATGTTTCTCAGTGTCCCCATGTCACTAGGATACTGGGGACACACTGAGACATTGGGACGGGAAAATCGGGACACTGAGACACTGGGAGACTTGAGGACTGGGGACTAGGGGACTGGGCGACATGGGGACACTGACACTGTGATACATAGGGACATTGAGACACTGGGTGACTTGCAAGACTGAGACACTGGGAGACAGGGAGACACTGGGAGCAATCCATCTATACAGCAGAATCAAACTGTGAGTAGTTTGTTGGTGATTTTACAGAATTTTCTCTGATGTCACTCCTTGTGATTTACATCATGTGATGTCACGCATAACTAATTAATTATAAAAATGATTAAGGCTGGTATTTTTTTCCAAGAAAGGTGGCAACCTTAACTACTCTTCGCATACTCTTGCTTAAAGGAGCACTATAGGGTCAGGAACACAATCATGCATTTCTGACCCTATTATGTTAAAACCACCACCCTGGCCCCTTCTTGCCTCCCTAAGTATAGTAAAATATTACTTGTATTCAAGTCTGCAGCCGCTGGCTCTGCCTCTGAACTGACTGTCTGCTGACTTCATCAGAAGTGGTGGTCTGAGCAAATTACAATACTTCCCCATAGGATTGGCTGACACTGTCAACTAGGCAGATCAGGGGCAGAGCCAGCACAAGTCCAACATAGCCCTGGCCAATCAGCATCTCCTCATAAAGATAAATTGAATCAATGCATCTATATGAGGAAAGTTCAGTGTCTGCATGCAGAGAGTGGAGACACTGAATGGCAGTGCTGCACACTAGGCAGTACTGCCCCAGGAAGCACCTCTTGAAGCCATCTAAGGAGCGGCCAGTGGAGTTATTTTCGCTGAAAAGACAGTGTTTACTGCAAAAAGCCTGAATGGAATGATTCTACTTACCAGAACAAATACAATAAGCTGTAGTTGTTCTGGTGACTATAGTGTCCCTTTAAGTTTGGAAGCTTAAGAGATGGGAACAAAACTTGTGTGGACTGGCTGACAATAAAATTAGTTAAGGTAATGCAGACGTTGGTCTTTCTAACACTGTGGCATGTCCCCTTTCTTCTACACTCACTACATACACATTTTCTCTGTCTCAGACTATACACCAGGAACTTCTGCCTGCTAGTAAGAAGGCAAGGAGACAAGTGGACCAGCGAGTGCTAGGGGACAGTCCTTAGAAAGCATGGAGTGAGCGCATGGACAGCCTGCAGGATTGGCAGGCAGCCTGACATGCATCCATGCCAAGTTGACCTTCCAATTCTTTGGACAAACATGCCCCTTTTTTGGGCATGTTCTCCCCTTTTGGCAGGTCTGGTCACGTTATTTGCACCAGTGGCACACCCTTTTACCCCGCACATTGACGTCCAGCTTCACTGGAGACTGCTGTTAGGGGGTATGGATTTACTTAAAAGATGAAAGCATAAATTAGAGAGAGATTAGCATAAGAGTATGTGTTTTCTTATAGCTGCATCCTATGAGTTTCCCTCCAGCACCAACTCCATCAAATACATGATGCTTGGGAGGTATGATTGTTTTAGTGTTTTTGGTCGATAAGATTCCGTAATTAGGCCCATCATAATTGTCAGCACCAGGCCCACTGTGCCCTTAATCCGGCCCTGAACAGGATCCTACATTCTGTTCCATGAAGGAACCTGTCAGAGGAGGAGGGGACTTATATAGCTCACACACCACCTGTTATAAAAGTACTCAGGTAGACAGAGAAATTAAGCAAAGCTTCCTCCTGTGAAGTCTGCCAGTGCAGAATATGATCTTAGAAATGCAGTGATTTTTGTAAATGACTGCAGGTATAAACTGATATCATATAAGAACAAGAAGTAGTCAAATTCAAACCGAGGTCAAGGAGTACAGAAATCAGGATAAGCGAGTAAGCAAAAGCTGGTTTAACCCCTTCAGGACTCAGGACGGTTCAGGACCGTCATCGGCATTTTAGCGTTGCCGACCGCTGACGGTCCTGAACCATCCTAACGGTGTAATGTACTTACCCAATAGCCGTTGTTCCCCCGGCGGCGATCGGCTGTGCTCCCGGTGTTGGGAGACTGCCTGTTGATAAAAAATAAAAATAATTATATATATGTCTATCTATCATATATATATATATATATATATATAATGTCATACTAAGTGTATTTTTATATTAATATGTACATATATTAATATAAAAATACACTTATTATTAAATTACACACGTATATATATAAAATAACTATATATATTGTATATATTATTATAAAATACAAATAATAAGTAATTTAAATTAAATAAAAACATGTAAAAAGAATAATAATTAAAAAAAATTATATACCTATATTAAATTTTATTCTAACTGTATTTTGATATTAATATATATATATATATATATATATATATATACGCTTAGAATGAAATTGTATATATATCTATGTATATATAAATAAAAATAATACGAAATATACATATGTCCATATACAAAATTACATAAATAATTATATAAATATACACGTAGACTTCAAATATATAAATATGCATATATATTTAAATTCTGCTTGCGTATTTATGTAATATTTTTCCATAATTAAGTAATTTTATTGATTGCAATTTGAGGGACCTGCCTTCTAACCCAGGCCTAAAGTCCAGAGAATTTAATTTGCTAGCACTGTATTTTACCCTGTAATTTTCTATGACACCCTAAAACCTGTACATGGGGGTGACTGTTTTACTCGGGAGACTTCGCTGAACACAAATATTAGTGATTCAAAACAGTAAAACATATCGCAGCGATGATATTGTCAGTGAAAGTGACCTTTTTTTGCATTTTTCACACACAAACAACACTTTTACTGATGATATAATTGTTGTGATACATTTTCCTGTTTTGAAACACTAATATTTGTGTTCAGCAAAGTCTCCCGAGTATAACAGTACCTCCATGTACAGGTTTTATAGCGTTTTAGAAAGTTACAGGGTCAAATATATGGGTCAAATAGTTTTACATTGAAAATGGCCAGGTTGGTTACGTTGCCTTTGAGACCGTATGGTAGCCCAGGAATGAGAATTACCCCCATGATGGCATACCATTTGCAAAATAAGACAACCCAAGGTATTGCAAATGGGGTGTGACGGACCGCTGGCACTCCGACAGAGTACCTCAGCCAATCGATGCTCCTAGTGCTTGCCGAGGACTCCAAGCACTCCAACCGACACCATCCGCACTGCAGACCCCACTTCCAGCGATGCAGCTGTGCCGGGGTCTCGCCGTCTCTCACCCACCCTGGATCCATGCCAGGATCCAGCTTCCAGTGGGTGAACCTCTCCTAACTCCAGAGAGCAGGAACCAGGAACAAGCTCTTACAGGAGCTTATACTCAGAGGAGTATTGTGATATAGCAATCCCCAAGAGTGTAGTTATCCCATCCCCCAAGCATGAGCCAAGGCTTCAAGAAAGGGTCAAGTAGTTCTGTTTAATGCCAGCCAGCACTTACAACTTATACAAACATTTAAACCCCCAACAGCCTCATTTACATACAATAGGTTACATAGATTACTATAGTACAAGGAAGGGTGGGGTCAGACAATAGCAAGGGCTGATGGGAGATTTAGGAGGGACAGAGCAACTAGTTTAAACTACCCTGTTGGGGAAACAATAGGACAGGAAAAAGGGGGAGGGGGAGAGGCACAGATAAGCAATACATTCAACATACTCTTCCTCTGTGTCTGAGAGATAATTGATTATCTTCAGGTACAGAAAAATACACAATTTACAAACACCCCAAAAGTACCCCCAAGATCCATGGAAACCCCACAAGAGTCACATCCTCTGATAGTCCTGATCTGGGTGATCAACATATCCAAAAATCACCCAGATCGGTTCAGTGGTTTGTTTTTTCCATGGAAGTCACATGTCTTTTTGCAGGGCCCATAATCCTGGGGCGAGGCTGGCAAGCAGGCCTCTCCAAGTACAAGTGGCGATGTTAATTTCGCCACACATCTTCTCTTTGGGGGGAAGACTAAACAGGTACCTGACCTTCTGTTGGTCAGTACCTAGGTTAGTCGGGCAGCCCACCCACAAAGACAAATCAGCAGAGTAGCCCCCCACAATAAACGGTACTGGCCTGTAGGTCCCAGGTTGTAGCAGGACAGTTCAGCATCCTCGGTCTCCCTGGTGCAGCTAAGCAAACAGCTGGGGCTACTTGGGGGGGCAGAGGCCAGCCAGCTCTTCCACTGGGATAGCCTGCAGGGTGTCAGGCTCTGAACAAGGGACAAGGGTAGGGCAGAGGCCAGCGGTACTCTGCCCAGGTACCAGCTCTTCAACTGGGATAGCCTGCAGGGTTGACTCTGGACAAGGTACAAGGGTAGGGCAGAGGCCAACGACGTTCTGCTCAGGTGCCAGCTCTTCTGCTGGGAGGGGGTCAGTGGGTGTCGCAGATTCATCCACTGCCCCCAGGACCCAGTCGGGATGTAGCTGGGGAGGGGGAGGCTTGCTTACCTTCTCCTCCTGGCATCCCTGCGGGGAAGGTTGGGGATCTCGACCGCCCGTCC